GTCATCATCATTATTATTATTATTACGTTAATATATAAATATGAGCGAGTCAATTTATCGATAATTTATTACTCTTAAACGTCGTAATTAATTAATGTTTTTAAAAAAAAAAATATTACGAAACTGTTTTTCATGTTTAGAGATTCTGATAACTTGTGTCGACACGATACGCCATTATCATCATCATCATCATTATCATAATATTAATAATAATAAATCGAACATTAAGACAAAAGATCAGATTTCGCCTTTTAAAATAAAAAAAAAAAAAATTATATTTTTAGTCTGTCCCCCATATTTATTAAATAAACTCGTTTTGTGCGAAAGTTTCGATATATATAAAAAAAAAAAAAAAATTTCGGCGACTCGTTTCATTTTATTTATTAATTTATTTTTATCCACGCACACGCACTCACACACACGCATTTTATTATTACTTAATTATAATTAAAAGTAATTTTCCATTTTGAAATAGAAAATGAAAGAGAAAATGTCGACGAGGAAAAAAAAAAGACGAAAATTTAAAATATCGGTTTCGTACGCGTGTTCACACGTGCACGCACACGTAATTAAATAATTAATTTATTAATTAATAATCGCATTTAATAAATATAAAATCCTATATATTTAAATGTCGAGTAATAATCAGGTTAATTAATAAGTTATGTAAATAAAATAAAATAAAATTTTTATTAATTATTATTATTATTTACGTTTTATATAAATTTGATGTGGAGGGGTTTGTTTGTTTTTTTAAAATGTTTTGTTGGCAATACTGAATAATAGTAATAAATTATTTAATAAATAATTGAAAAAAAAAAAAATTGCAAAAAAAAGGAACGTGGTAGTTCGTGGTAGTTTTTAATTCCAACCGCAAAAATAATGAGAAAAAAATTATTATTATTATTATTTTCTAGGTTTACGCCTTTCATTTTTTTCGGTTAAACATTTTTTCTTTCTTTCTATTTCCACGTTTTTTTTTTTTTTTCGAATAAAATTTGATCGGTTCGTTTTGTACGAGTAATAACAATTACCATTATTATTAATAATTTTTTTTTCATTGATTTAAATCGTTTGTTAAATAAAATTTAAGTTTTAGCAGTGATAATAATAATGATATTTTGTTTTGTTGTTAATACGTATTTTAAACAAACAAAAACTAGTTTTACCCTTTGGTTAGTTAAGTTTTTATAATTGTCCTTTTCACTTTCAAGTTCCTTCTTTTACTTTTTTTTTTATGCAATAAAAATATATTCTGATGGCAAATAATAAAAAAAAAAAAAAAAAGGAGAAAAACCGGAGGAGAATTGAATTTCACTTTGACGATTCGATAAATAATAATAATAATAAATACTTCCTAGTGTAAAAAAAAAAGAAGCAAAACAAAGTTGTTTTTTATGTCTTAAAAATATATATAAACAAACGCTTAAAGAATTGTGGGAGAAAAAAAAACGGTTATGCAAATAATATATTTAAATGACGTTAGTGTACGACAAATAAAATAATTTAAAAATTTAAGGCGTAATCCGTAAAAAAATGTTTTTTTTCATTTGGATTAAAAAAATTTTTTTCATCGTATTTGCGCACGCATTAATATTATTATTATTATTATTAGTATTAGTATTATTATTTGATTTTAATTAAATGTAATTTGTCATATTATAATAAAGAGAGAGAGAGAGAGAGAGAAAACAAAACGTCGACGAAAAAATTGAATGATTTATTAAAATAGAATTTTTAAAGTATAGCTTTTCCTCGAGTACACATTTACGCACGTGCGTTTTTTTTACGCACGTAAGTTTTATTTACGCATACATGTGAGGGAATAAAATAATTAATAAATAAGTAATTTAATAAATGCTTTATTAAAAAATAATAATAACAATTACTTTAAAATTATTCAAAAGAATCAAATGAACTTTTTTTTGTTGTCGGTCGAACGTTTTTTTGTAAAAAAAAAATAATTAAATTTATTTAAAAAATGTTTTTAATTATTACCAGACGGATTTTTTTTATTAAAATAATAATAATAATAGTAATAGAAAAAATTAATTCGTGGAAAATTTTTTTTTTTCTAAGCGTTGTAATTAGGGAATAAAGTTTAACGTTCGAAAAGTTTTTCTATTTAAAATTATTATGAAAATTTTTTTTTCATCTTAACAACTCATGCATTTAAAAAATAATAAACAAATAACCGAGTTATTATTATTATCATCATTCATTTTGCATTTCGGTCACGCCGATAAATTTTTAATAAACATATGTATACGTGGATTTATAAATTATTTAAGCATGCAATTAAAAAAAAAAAAAAAAGAATGGATTGAATTTTTTTGGTATTCGAGTGAAAATCTAGTAAAACACCTTTCTATATAAAAAAAAAAAAAATATTTTATATAAAATCCTTGAATGAAAAAAAAAATATATTTTTTTTTTCTTAACGTTTTACTTATTTGAATTAATGCCAACCGATTTATATATATAATAATAATAATAATAATAATAATAATAATCGACTGCGAATTTAAATTTATTTATTCATTTTTTCCCCCTTTTATTTATTTATTTTTCAATTTAATGTTTTAAAATTCTTACTCGAGGCTAATAAAAAATTTATTTTTTTTATAATATAATTTGAAAGATAAATGTTTATCTTACGTATAATAATAATAATGATTAAAAAAAAAATTTAAATTTAAATTTAAAGTGAGTTGTTTTTAATAATATAATTAAAAATAATGGAGATAAAAATATTTTAAAAGGTTTTGTTTGTTTGCTAAACAACGACGGCGACGGTGATTTCCCCAAGCGGATTTAAATGGAATTTTTTTCCACTGAACCACGTGTCGAACTCCAGTTTTGGATTATTATTTTTTTTTAAGAAAACCATTCTCGCTAATGTTTCACTTATAGAAACTCATTACCTATGAAACCATGTACCGAACTCGAGTTTCGAATTATTATTTTTTTTAAGAAAACTATTCTCGCTAATGTTTCACTTATGAAAACTTGTCACTTATAAAATCTCATTACTTATAAAACATGTATCAAACATGTAAGAAGACCATTCTCGCTAATGTTTCACTTATGAAAACTTATCACTTATGAAATCTCATTACTTATGAAACCATGTACCAAACATGTAAGAAAACCATCGCGCTAATGTTTCACTTATGAAATCTCATCACTTATGAAACCATGTACCGAACTCGAGTTTCGCATTATTTTTTTTAAGAAGACCATATCGCCAATGTTTCACTTATAAAAACTTATCACTTATGAAACCTTATATCAAACTCGAGTTTTGCATTATTATTTTTTTAAGAAAATTATTCTCGCTAATGTTTCACTTATGGGACACTTAGCCTTTTTATAGTTTTTCCTTATTGTTTTGAAGAAAATTCCGATGTGTGTGTGTATATATATATATATATATACATACGGATAAAAACGGTTACAATACTTGAATTTTCTTCAGTATTTTTTGAACATTTTTCAGAGAGTGTTTAAATTTAATTACTGGAATGGAGAAGGCGGGGGGGGGGGGGGGAATTGCAACGCATTACTACATACTTGCGAAAAAATCAAAAAAAAAAAAAAATTTTCCTTCGGGCTGGAGAAAAATTAAAATTCATTAATCAATATGCGACGGTTATTAATTAACCTTTTTGAGTGAAAGTTAATAATTTATTATTATTTCGATTATCCATACATAATAATAATAATTATTATTATTTCGAGCAAGTTAAATTTTGTATTTTTCCAGTTATTTAAGGAAATTTACAAAAAAAAAAAAATTTATTTTTATTTTATTATTAATTATGAAAAAGAAAGAAAGAAAGAAAAACGTTCGAAAAAAGTATATTTCCGTCGATTACGTCATCAAACATAATTTAAAACCATAAAAAAATGAAAAAGGAGATTTCATTCCAGCGAGATAAAAAAAAATTATGGAAGGGCGGAAAAAGAAAGGAACTTTTTAAAAAAAAAAAGAAAGCCATTCATTCAACTATAAAAATGGCAACAAAAAAATAATAATTTTTCGTTTTAATTAAATTCCTGGAAATATCATTTAAAAAAATAATTTTCTCCAGTAGAAATCGTTTATTATATTATTAAATTCCATAATTACATAAATAAATAAATAAACGAAAATAATAAAAAAATGCCGGTTTGAAAAAAAGAATATTACGTAATTATTAAAAACGAGTTAGTACTTTACTAATCAATTATCATTATCATTATTATTATCATTAATATTTTTTGGAGAGAAAGAAATTAAGTCATCATTTTATCCATGATAACAACGCGAATTTGATTTGTGTGTGTTTGTTGCCTTGCCAAAATTTGACGAAAATTTTTTGTAACGATTGATTATTTAATTATTATCGATTTATTGATTTATTGATTTTTAAAAAAAAATTTCCTTTCATTTTCCTAAGGGTAAACATTACACAAACGCCCACATATTGTTATCGACAAGTGAATGTTTATAATAATAATAATAATTTATTTAAAATAAAACAGGAAGTTTGAAAAAAACGAAAAAAACTGGAATAATAAATGCATAATAACTGGAACCTGTAACGATTCGACCTTTCCAAATTTTTTTTTTCCAGTAAAAATATGGCAGCCATGAATTGTGATAAATAATTAATTAATAAAATTTTAAAAAAATTTATTTTATTGTTTATAATAAAAAAAATAAAATAAATATTAAAAAAAAAAATCGTGGGAAAACTTTTATAAACATAAAAAAAAAAAATTAAGCCTGGAAAAATTTATTATTATTATTATTTGGTATTAATAAAAAATCGTATTTATATTGTGGTTTAGTATAAGAATTTCCAAAATTATTATTATTATTATTACGGTAATATATTGGTGATAATACCGTTCTTATACTAAACTTTATAAAGTTCATATAAACGCGACGTATAAAATTAAATTAAAAAATTTGTACATAAAAAAAATTAATTTTAAGTTAAGTAAATGAAACGTTAAAAAAGGCCGCCGTAATTGATATGATTTGATAAGAATTTGGTATGTGGATTTAAATGTTCTAAAGATTCTGGGATTATATTACCGAAATTGTAATTTAAATTTTGTGATAAGAGATTGGTTGTTGCTGTTGTTGTTGTTAGTTCATTTCCGGTTAAATGAAAATTTGTTTCGTAAAGTTGTGATGATGTTAATGGTATCGTATATGACAATTCCGGAGCATTTTGATATTGATTCACCGATTGCACGTTTGTTTGTTGTAATAATTCATGTTGGATCTGTGGTTGCTTTACTGTTGATTGGGTTACTGGTTCTTGTAAAGCCGTTTCCATTTCCGGTTGTGTTAATTCTTGTTGTAGTACCATCATTTTTTGGAGTTCTTGTTCCATTGCCATTTGTTGTAATTCTGGTTGAGTTACGATTTGTTGTACTTCCGGTTGAATGATTTCTGTTTTTTGTAATTCCTGTTGCATTTCTGGTTGTTGTTGTACTTCTTGTTGCATTACCATTTGTTGTATCTCTGGTTGCATTACCATTTGTTGTATCTCTGGTTGCATTACAATTTGTTGTTGTTCCGGTTGAACGATTTCAGATTGTTGTTGAATTTCTGGTTGTTGTTGTAATTGTTGTAGTGTTTCCGATTGTAATTTCTGTTGGATTTCCAATTGTAATTGCTCCAATTGTTGATTGAATGTCTCTGATTGTAGTTTTTCTTGTATACCCGATTGTAGTTGTTGTAGTGTCTCTGATTGTAATTGCTGAACTTGTTGTTGCAATGTGTCTGACTGTTGTTGCTGTAATTGTTGTATTTGCTGTTGTAAAGCGTTTGATTGTTGTTCCTGCAGTTGTTTTATTTGCTGTTGTAAAGCATCTGACTGTTGTTGCTGGAGTTGTTGAAGTTGTTGCTGTAGTGTGTCTGACTGCAGTTTTTGTATTTGTTGTTGTAGAGTTTCTGACTGTTGTTGTTGCAATTGTTGGAGTTGCTGTTGTAAAGAGTCTGATTGTAGTTTTTGTATTTGCTGCTGTAGCGTCTCTGACAGTAGTCCTTGTTGTACTTCCGGTTGAACTTGAGGTTTTATTTCTTGTTGTGCGATTGATGTTGTTACTGAAGTCGAGAGTGGATTCGAAACCGTTAAAGAAACGGATTGAGATTCTGGAATTGAAACTGGTACTTTTTGTGGAACCAGTACGCTTATTGGTTTCGGAACATGAACGGGTACTGCCTTGAGAACGGTCACTGGCACGATTTTAGGTACGTTTACCTTGTACGGTTTCAAAACTGTCACTGGGTAAGGTTGAGGAACTTCCACTGGCAAGGTTTTGGTCACCGTAACTGGCACCGGTTGGGGTTGTGCAACTACGACAAACGAAGAAGATTCAGAGTAAGTTTCGGTTTTACGAACAGGAACTTCTACAAGTTTAGAATTCAATGATGCAGTACCACTTTTTAAACCAGCTCCTCCAGATGCTGCTGCTGCTGCTGACATTGCAACCATAGTCGGAACGGTAGCTTCTACTAAAGTATTTGTACCAACGACCGCACTAGCTCCCGAAGAAACGTTTGCAGCAACTCCCGACGAAACTTTTCCCGCAACAGTTCCTGCAGCAGAAGCAGCAGCAGATCGGCTAACGACTTCAGCACTACCCGTACCGGTGCCTGCTTTTTCCGCCGTCGCCGCACCACTCGCCGCAATTGCTAAAACAGCATCCGAAACACTATTTGAAATAATTTCACCTCCGGAACTTTCGACACCTCCTGCCGTCGCACTTTCCTTTCCCGTACCGACAGTAACTTTCATTCCTCTCATACCATCAAGGCTCATCACAGCTTGGGCAATTTTATTAACGTCCAAATCTTTTATCGCACCACTTTTTAAACCGTCCATTTGTATTTCGATATTAACTTTTTCACTTAAAGAACCGGAAGTACCACCGTTCAATAATTTCGTCACGCTCGGTAAACTCGATAAAAAAATATTAAAATCTTCATTGAATTCCGTTGGGGTTTGAATTTTTGATCCTGTGATTCCAATCGATCCCGAATCCGTTAAAAATCCCCTTTTTTCTATTGTTTTCCCTTTTCCTCTCCCCACCACCATCAACATTATAATTAACACCTGGAACAAAAAAAAAAAAGAAAAAATTTCATTCGTGTCTTTATGTGCACACTATCGGTCGATACATTCGAGAACTCTATAGTCGAGATATCGAATCGTGACTGACTATAAATTATTATTATTATTATTATTATTATTATTATTATTATTATTATTAACGCATATCACGATTTTTACTTCACAATTTTAAAATGAAAAAACTCGAGGTTTTCCTTATCGATAAACGTTCTCCAGCGTTTATAAATAAAATCCCTGGAGAATTTTAAAAGCCTACGTAAAGTGCATCGATCTTATTTTTTCACGCATTTATAGTCATAGCTTTATAGTTATAGCGTAAAAATATTTATAGCGTGAAAGGAAACATCCGGTGACGTCACACAAAACAATTTAATCGTCTGTAAAAATAATTTTTATTATCATAATTTAAATTGATTGACGTGTGCTCGCGCGCGGGTGCACGTGTTGCTATATTTTCCGATAAGCTAAACATTATAGTCTATATATACCGCTATAAAAATTTACAAAATAATAATAATGATAATTATTTAAATCGATAAATTTAATTAATATATATATATATATATATACGTACCGTATATGAAAAAATTTTCATTTTTTTTATTTAAAAAAAAAAAAAATTTCGTTTGTTTTTTTGGATGTGAGTGCGTGTGCGTGTGAGTGTGCGTTATCTATTCGAACAAACGTTAATTATTATTGTATTTTAAATGATGACGGATTTGAAGTTATCAACAAACTATCGGAGAAGTCACCGGAACAAACATTTTTATACTTGTTAATAAAAAAAAAACGTGTAATCGAAAACACGATCATTTATTTTTTTTTTTATTTGTTTATTTATTTATTAAAATCCTCTTTTGGATGTCGTAAACAAAAAAAATGTCTTCTCGTACCTAAAAAATTAGGATGTTAATAATAAAATTACTCGATTAATAAATATAAACCGACCCACATGAATTATTCAAAATAAAGGAAGAAAAAACGTGGAGGGAGAAGGAAGTAAGAAATGACGAAAGAGAGTGTTAATAATAATGATAATAATACGAAGGAATTTTTAACTCGTATCATAAATTTTGTATTAAATACTATAATAATAATAATAATAATAATAATAATAATAATAATAATAATAATAATAATAATAATAATAATAATAATAATAATATTATTATTATTATTATTATTATTATTATTATTATAATTTTTAAGTAATAAAAAATTTTTTTTTTCAATTTAATTATTCATATACATTATTTGTTTTTCTCTTTCTCTCTCTCTTCCTTTTCACTCCCTTATTTCCCCCCCCCCCGTTAAGTTGACTAACCTGATTCGAATTAATTAATATTTTTTAAATAATAATAATAATGTATTTTTTTTTTATAATTAATATTCGATCTTGTTTGTTGTCGTCATTGTCGTCGTCGTTGCAATTTTTTTTTTTTTTGAAATCAAAACCGGATATATTAGGAAGTCGTGATGAAAATTATCATTATTGTTATTATCATCATTATTATCATCATTAATTTTTTTTTTTAATGTTTATTGATTTTTTTTTCAATAAAATAATAAGAACGGAAGGAAAATATTAATTGATTTTTCTTTTTATTTTTTTTTTAAATTGAAAAAGTTTTTTTGTTTGTTTTTTATTTAAAAAACTTTCATGAAATTATTATTATTATTCACCATTAAACACGACAAGGCTACTTGTCGGGGTTTTTAAGTATTTATCCGAGGTTTCTACCCGATTCCTTAGGGACAAATACTCGAATTTCGGTGGTGCCACTTATTATAAGATAGCACCACATCAATTCTTGAAGGTCTTCCTGAGTCCATCTTTATTCGATGGGAACGATTTGTCTCCTGAACTGGGCTCCAGTGACTAACATCTTTGGAGTGGCCAGGGTCAGAAGCAGTGAAATTCACATTCTCGTCGAGCTGCCTCAAGTCGACAGTAGAACAAGATTTGTTTTTGGTTCTTACTTTGTCTTGTTCTCATTTTTTTTTTTTTGCTCTTTTTTAAGCCAACGGCACGTGGCGTTCTCAAACGGTCACCCATCCAAGTTTGCACCACGCCCGATGCTGCTTAACTTCGGTGATTGTACGGGAACCGGTGTGACCAGCACGGTATGGCCGTTGACTTTTTTATTATTATTATTATTATTATTATTATCGTTTTTTCCAGTTTTAAAAAATTTTTTTTCAGTCGGATAAATTTAACTTTATTCAAAATTTAAAAAAAGTTTAAAGGGGGGTAAAAATGATTTAAAGTCGAGAGTGGTGGTGGTACACTCCTGTAATCCGACTACTCGAAGGTTGGGTAGAGGGTGTTTCGGTGGGGGGTTCTGGAATAGGCGTCTGCTACGGGGTAAAACATCAACTTGGATACCTTCGGGGAGCCCGAGGTTGAGTTTAAAAAGGGGAAAAATCGGCCCGAAAGTCACCGGGTTGAGAGTCGCGGGTATCTTGGGAGTGGGAGTTCGATTTCAGCTCGTCCAAACAAGGACAGACCTGTACCTACATAAGGGGAGAAGTGATCTAGCACCCTTTCGAGGCAATGGGGATGCACCGACCCTTGTTCGAGGGGGTGAAACAGGTTACTTGATCCAAAATAAAGAAATTGCGGAGCTGCAGCGTGAAAGGAAGACAGATGAACGATTCTCGCAGACTTTGCAGAAGAGGCAAGGACGATAGTAACAGACCGGGGGGCTGTCTTTCGAAGGGTAAAATTGGAAAGTACTCTGATGGGATTCCCACTTTCGCGAGTGTGAACTTGATGGTTCTTGTTCAGGTGGTCGTTGAGGCTGAAATGCAGGTTATACCCCCCCCTCGAACGGCCCTCCCTCCGGGTAAAGGAGCACCGTGCAACACGTCCAGAAGTTTCAGTTGGGTAGCGACTTCTTCAGCTGAGTACCACCGCACTCTCCTAGCTACCGGTTGAAGTGCTGCATTTCTCCTAGGTTAACAAAAAAAAACCGGTTCTGGAATTTGGAAAATTTTATGGAATTGTTACTATTATTATTATTATTATTTGTTATGGTTTGGTAGTTGGTAACATCATTAACATTTTCCATAATTTGCCCTGATAAATATTTTTTTTTTTATTTCCGCCTTTTTAGTTCTATAGAAAGCAATAATCAATGTCAAAGTTGTAGAACAACTTTTTACTTATTTATTTATTTATTTAAAAGTTACTTTCATTAATATAAATAATAATAATAATAATGATGATGAAAACAAATCGACGTCGTCGTGGCAGAATTTTAAATTACGTAAATTTAATCGGCGTGTATGATGTGATGAGTAAACGAACGGACTCGAGTTTTGTTTCGTTATGACGTCATTTATTAGTGACGTGTCAAAAAAAAAAAGGAAATTTACTGTGGAAATTAAAAAAGAAATTTTAGAAAATTTTGATTTGTCCTTTGGAATTTTTTTTTAAATAAATATATCTCCTTAGGCGTAAATGCTTGCGGTTTTTTTTTTTTTTTGGGGAGACATTTTTTTTTTTTTACACGTGTAATGAGAAACTTTCAAAAGGTGAATTGTTGCTGGTTGACTTTCATTTACTTTTAAATTTTTTAAAAACAAATTACACAAGTTGTCGGGTTGTTTATTCGTTCTCGTTTCCTTCTTCCTGTCTATCTTTTACTTATTCCGGTAATTTTTATTACCCCTTTCCCTCTCCCTCTCACCCTCCCCCCGGAAAATTTTTTTTAATATCAAATCAAATTTATTAATTGAGACAAACAAAATATGTTTTCCGCACAACTTCCTCTGGAATTTCCCTTTCCCCCATCACTCCTCCCTCACCCCCTCTCAGCTTCGTGTTAATAATAAAACCATTAACTCCGGGGGAAAGGGAGGGGAGGGGAGGGAAAGGAAAGGAGACAGAAAAAAAAAACTCATCAGACGAACACCGTTAAATTTTTTTTTTTTTTTTTAAATCTCATTTTTCTTTTTTTTTTTTTTACAAACGAATACCTTACAAATTTTCGTGATCCCCCCCCCCCCCCGTGACCTTTAACGCCCTTTTTTTTAACACCGGAAAAATATTTAAAAAAAAGACGCGGTGATAATAATAATGAGTTAAATGATTCCTAAGTTATGAAGATCAATAAAATTTTAATTATTACTATCGTTTCGAACTTATTTAAATGAATAATAATAATAATAATAATAATAATAATTACATATTTAAAAATTTTATTAATATTTTATTTATTACCCGTGGGTAAGTAAAAAAAAAATTACTTCCGTAATAATAATAATAATAATAAATAAAATATATTTAAAAAGGGAAAGAAGAAAAAGATGATGATGAAAATTACCGCAGTTTCATACATTGAATTTATTATTATTATTATTATTTATTTTTTTATTACCCGTAAGTAATATTAATAATAATAGTATAATAATTAATACTTTCTAGTTAATATGAATAATAATTTAATAAATAAATAATTAATAATAAATTTATTTTAATTTTTTTTTATTCGTTCCGTCGTTATGCTCTCCTTTTCCTTTTCCCCCCTTCCCGCCTCACTTTTACGGGGTAATTTTTAATAAAAATTATTCTGGGAAATGTTCTGGAAAATACTCTTGATTAATAATAATAATAATAAAATTCATCTGCTGAAAATTAAAAAAAAAGAGAGAGAAAAGAAGAAGATTTCAACTTGTTATACATTTAAGAAGAAGATTTTTTTTATGACCTCGTCAACATAAATCAAGTTGATACATTCTCTCCTACTTATTTTACTTTTACTTCATTCTTTTTATAATTATTTTTTTTTCACATTCTCTTTTTTACGTTTTTATGCAAACACAACAGGAAGGATGTTATGGTTGTTATGAAATTCTTCGAAGAAAAAATAATTTTAATCCGAGAAAAGAGTATTATTATCATAACCGATAACATACGATGATTTATTGCAAATAATAATAATAATAAAACATTCCAAAGGAAAAAA